TATTTTAGGTATTTGGTTATGTTATTTGGTACTTGAGTTTTATGTTTTTTTATTTGGTACTTGTGTTGATTAATAGGTTCCTCATGGATCACAACAAAAAGATACTACTCATAATTCTAATGTACTTGTACGTACGCTACTTTTGGAAGAGGGGTGTCAAACGAGTGTGCGCCAATGATTCGGAAATGATGGGACATGAATTTACGTTAGAGTTACTTCACCATAATCCTCTACAATGTCTTGAAGTGCTACGCATTTCCCGTGAATCATTTGTTCGGCTATATGCTCATTTTAGAGTAAACTACGCGTTAAATGATAGCAAATATGATGTAACACCCAAAATCAGAAAGGCCAAGAAAGGAAAGAAAATCTAAGTCAAAGGGGTCAACTCATCGAGTCCAGGGAGGAACTCGACGAGTCGAAGCGGGATCCGGGGGATCACTTAAGTAACCGACTCGGCGAGTCGGCAAAGGGGACTCGGCGAGTCTGGTATGATCAAGGAAAACCTTAAATCCGAGACTTGGAGCCTATTTAATCGTGTCATTCTCTTCCCTAGGGTTCCTTTACTGCCTCTATAATCCAGAACATCGAACCATATCCGCCATATTCGTTTGAGCAAAGATCTAGCCTTGGAGTTGTGACTTGAAGCTTGGAAGAGAAGGAAGTTCATAGTGGTGCAATAGGAAGCCTTGGATCCAGAGTTGGTGTGACTTTTCAGAGCATTTGAAGGTAAGAAAGTCATTACCTTCACTCCTTTGCTCATAGTTTCCTTTTGTCATGAGATTTGGGGCTTTTATGCCATGTCCTAGAGCCAATTGGAGTTAGAAGTCCAGATCTGAAGTTGCTGCTTCAGATCTAAGTGTATTCTAGCCTAAAGAGTCATAAAGTATCAGTCTTGGGGGTGTAGGTGAAGCATGGTTGTCTTAAACCCGAGTATGGAGTGTTTTGGGCCTAGATATCCTTAGCTACACGTAAAGCTTGCAACTTTACGTGAGGAATAGGCCTTGGAAGAATGGATCTACAGTTTTGGAGTCCATGCATGACTCAAAAAGCTTCTGAATGTATAAAACACTGAATAGACTTAGTGAGTCCTTCGAGTGGACTCAGCGAGTAGTATGAAAATTAGGAGGAACTCGACGAGTTGGATGAACAACTCGGCGAGTCTGTTGAAGTTTTCCTTGGACCCGGCGAGTCAGGTCGCGAAACCCCGAACCCTTCAAGCTAAGACTCGAATCAGTGAGTCGAGTGGAGACTCAGTGAGTTGGACAAAACAAGACTCGGAAATCGGTGGACTCGACGAGTCATAGGTTGACTCGGCGAGTCGAGTCGCGAATGGAAGGACTCTAAGCATATGAACTCGACGAGTCAGTAGGCAAAATCGGCAAGTAGGGTTGACCTGGAAGGTTGACTTTGACCAGAGTTGACTTAGTTGACTTTTGGAGGACAATTCGACTAAGTGTTATATTGGTATTGATAGCTCGGGTTGCTAGTGGAACCACAATTCAGAAGAGTTGTCGGGCAGCAGCAGAGGGGTTTCAACAAGTTCAGTAAGTGCAAGTGAGTTTCCCTTTGTGTGAATGGGTCTAAGGCCACAATGCCGACCCATGTAGATATGAGTAGGAAGACCCAGGGGTTAGCCCTATGCACTGTATGCCAGTATGATATTTAGGACCAAGGTCCATTGATAAGCGGGCGGGTACCCAAGGAATGGTTTGCATGATAGAGTATACTTGTTGTCTGTGTCAAGCTTGTATGTGCCTGGTAGGGAGGTGAGTGTGGGCGAGGCCCCATATCTCACCAATAGTAGAGTGTGGATGGTGTTCCACATCTCATTAGCAGCAGAACAGGGGCGAGGCCCAAGTTAGGGAAAGAGTGAGTATGGGTTGGGCCCGTATCTCACTATCAGTAGGAGTGTGGATGGGGTTCCATGACTTATCAGTAGCAAGACAAGGGCGAGGCCTAGGATAGGCGAGGCCTTAGGACAGAATCCATTAGTATATGTTTAGCTTATGTGTTGTGATATGTTTATGTGCTATTATATGTTAGCGGGCGAGGCCTAGTGACAGGCAAGGCCTAAGTGAAACAGATCAGTGTCCGAGCGGGGCTCGAAGCCAGGCGGGGCCTGGAGCAGCGGAGTCGTTGTAGCGGGTGAGGCCCAGAATAGCGGGCGTGGCCCAGTATGTGCAGTATGTGGTTATGCATGGTATGTGTGTAGGTTGGGGAACTCACTAAGCTTTCATGCTTACAGTTTTCAGTTTTGGTTTCAGGTACTTCCGGTAGCGGAGGGAAGAGCTCGGGGTGATCGCATGGCACACACCATAGATTAGACAGTCTGGGAATGTTTTACTCTGATAATGAACATATGTTTGGAAATTAATACTCTGATTATGTTTTGGATTGATGATTATGCTTTAAGTAATGTTTTATTAAAATAAATTTTTAGTCTTGAATTTTGGGACGTTACATATGTGTCGGTTGAAGAGAAGATGACTAAGTTTTCGATGATGATCGGTCATAACCAACGTTATGTGATTATCAAGCGGGGATTTAAACACTCAAAGCAAAAATTCATAAGTTTTTTCATGAAGTGTTGGACAAAATGTTGCTTTTTCGCATATGACATTATAGTACCAACTTTTTTTAATCCGAATCCAACATTCTAGGACATAAAGGAGGCTACGGCGGGTGTTCAAGAGAGCAGTTGGTGCACTTGATAGCACTTTAATACATGTTGTTGTCACTGCAAACAAACGAGATTTATATAGAAGTAGAGGAAAAGGCGATTGTTACCAAAACATATTGGCAATATGTGACTTCAACATGATGTTTGCGTTTGTTGTGGCCGGTTAGGAAGGGATAGCACATGATTCTAAAATTTTATCAGAAGCGTTAGCAAATCCACATGCACCATTCCCGCTTCCACCACCAGGTAAATTTATGGTTATTTAAATAGTTTTATCTTAGCTTGAAAAATAAATAACTTTTTTTTGTTTTTTTACAAATAAATATTATCTTTGTGATGCCACCTATGCAAACATTCAAGCTTTTATGGCACCATACCGTAATGTGAGGTATTAGCTTGGAGATTTCTATTGAAGACGTGCATTAACGAATATATAAAAATTTTAACCATGCACACGCAAAACTTCAGAATGTCATTGAGCGTGCTTTTGGTGTCTTGAAAGCACGATTCCCTATATTGAAGAGGATGACATCATTCTCGTTGGTTACCTAACGAAACATTACCCTAACATGTTTTGCGCTTCATAATTTTATAAGAAGAGAGGGACTACGTGATGAGTTTTTTGCACGATATGATGAACCAAATGTATCGGTTCAGAATAACAATGCAGTCATTGATAATGATGATGATGAGATTCCAACATATGGTACTGCAGCGGACCGTGAATATATGATGACCGAATTACGGGATGAAATTGCCGAACAATTGATGCAAAATATGGAATGAAATTATTAAAGTTTGGTTGTATGAATTTTATTTAAAAATGTTATTTCAATGTTTTAAAACTACAATTATTAAATTTTTTGTATTAAAAAACTATTTTCGGTTTATTAAATTACTTTATTTTAAATTTTTTAATAATTGCAGCAGTCAACAGACGTTAAAAATACAAACATACTTCTCATTACAGTCTGCAACACTTTAGTCCATCTCTTCTGCTGCAGAGGGCTGCAAAGGTGGTCCGCAGACTTTAGACAATTTCACTCGAAAAAAACGAACAACACCTAACTTATTATCAACATCAATGCTTTTCAAAAATAAAAAATGATGAGAAAATGACAAGTGTCATTTTTATAAAGCATTGAAAAGAAAATATAAATTATGAGAAAATAACAAATTGTAATAATAATTATTTTTTTATTAGTATAGAAAGATTAGATGAATATTCGTACGTTATACAAATTAAATATAATTCTTAGTTTTTAATTCTTATATGACTAAGTGAATAAAAAATTATTTATTTGATTATTTTTAAAATTTTGACTCATTGTTTAAAATATTAATGTCTACAAGGTAATGTCTTTATAATTTTGTGTTATTGCAAATTATTATTATTATCTAATTTTTTAAGCCAATTATTATTATCAAAATTTATAGAAGATTAAAATTTAGGTATAAAGCTTTTCTTGTATTTATCTCACATTAACTAACAAATTTATGTATTATTAAAATTTTGAAAAATCTTAAGAGTTTATTAGAAGTTTGAAATGTCAGTGGATTTTCAATCGTAATATGCTGCAATGAATTTTGTATATTAATGTTTATAAGATAATGTAATATAATTCATATTTTTACGTTATTACTAATTATTGCTATTAATTAATTCAACATACCTATTATTATTTAAAAAAAAAAAAAAGAAGCCTAGAATTTAGGTATAAAGTTTTTTCTTGTATTTATCTCACATTAATTAACGACTTTATGTGTTATCAAAAATTTTAAAGATCATGAGAGTTTATTAGAATTTTAATAGGTCATGGAAGTTTATCAAAAATTGTTATGGAAGTTTCAAAGTAGGGATAATATCACTGTAGCACATGGAACTTTTAACGTTTGGCTAATTTGGTCCTTAAAGTTTTTTTTTGGTACATTAGACCATTAAACTCGTAACTGACCTTTTAATGACATCATTTTAGCAACTTTTAGAAAGTTTCCCGGTTATACGATGCCATTTTGTCAATTAATATATATTTTTTGTCTAATCCGATGCCACGTGAGATATGCCACATCAATTAATGAAATACGACGCTTAAAGCCTTTCGTCTTCAGCTATCGAACTTCACTAGTCTTCTTCTTCATTATTGAGCTGTAAAAGAAACTGATTTAGGGTTTGTGAAGCATTCCTTGATCGAGCTGAAAGTACCAAAGAACTCGCAACAATGGCACAATCGGAACCTAATGGACTATTTGCGATGGTGGAACTCAACTACCAAGGGGTATTTAATCGAAATCCTTTCTCTTACACTGGTGGTGTTAAAACCATCTTCAATGATGTTGACTTTTCTTCTATGACTTATTCTGAGTTTGTGACCTTCTGCGAACGTTTCATGCATGAAGAGTGTAAAAAGTTTACTACTGTGAACCAGACATGTCCTTCATGGAAGGCTTAATCCCATTTCAGATGATGTGGAATATTCTGCTTTTATTTTTGATGCTTATGGAACAGATGGTGTAATTTCGGTTTATGTGGATCATATTGGGGTTGGTGTTGATGGGTGGCATGATGATGAAGATAATGATGATGATGAACATGAGTCTTGTATTGATGGTGAAAATGAAGACAACATAGATGAACTTAGAAATGTTGCCTTTGAATTTAATGAGGATGTAGTGCATATGAATAGGACATCAAATGATCCTTTCTTGAGTAAGCTATGTGTTGATGATGAGGATGCAAACAACATTGTAGATGATGACAATGGGAGAGAAGTTGAAGTTAACATACAAGCTCATTCCATATTTAATGAGCTATTACACTGGAAAAAACAAAAACCAATTCTAGGGATGAGATTTAAGGGTCCAGGGCAAGTAAAATCAATGTTGTGTAACTATGCTGTAGCTAATGGATATCAATTGTGTTTTGAAAAAAATGATAGGACAAGACTTTTGGTGAGGTGTAGCAAAGGTGCTTGCACATTTAGATTATGGGCTTCCTGGATGAGTGATGAAGAGAGTTTCCAAATCAAGTCACTAAAAGCTGATCATAATTGTGCTAGGAACTTCAAGTTTGGATCATTGGTGACATATGCATGGATTGGGAGTCACTATACCAAAGAGATTGTAGAAAGTCAGAAAATAAGTGTAAGGAAGCTTAGGTTAAAGGTAATGGCCAAGTTTGGTATCCAAGTTAGTATGGGGCAATGTAGAAGAGCAAAGAAGTATGCACTGAAACTTGTTGAAGGAAACCTTGTTGAACATTATGGTAAGCTATGGTCATATGGTCATGAGATTTTAAGGACAAATCCTGGGTCAACTGTGAAACTAGATATGGAGGATGGGCCAGATGGAAAGAAATATTTTAGCAAGTTCTATTGTTGTTTTCAAGGAGTTAAACAAGGTTGGATTGAAGGGTGTAGAAGGGTAATTGGTCTTGATGGATGTTTTCTTAAAGGTGTTTGTAAGGGAGAATTGCTTTGTGCTATTGGGAGGGATGCAAATGACAAGATATATCCTATTGCTTGGGCAGTGGTTAATGTGGAGAACAAGCAGAATTGGAAGTGGTTTCTAGAGCTTCTCATTGATGATCTACACTTGAATTTAGGCAATGGTTTCAGTTTAATGTCAGACCAACATAAGGTTAGTATTTTACATAGTAATGCATTTATGTTAATTTTAGACTATCTGAATTTAACCTTTTTACTAATACAGGGTTTGATAGAGGCTGTTAAAGAGTTGCTGCCATATGTAGAGCACAGGCAGTGTGCTAGACATATTTGCCAGAATTTGCAGAAGAGATTTACTGGTGCCATATATCATACCTTGTTTTGGAGAGCATCTAAAGCCACAACTGAGCATGCTTTTAAAGTTGTGATGAAAGAAATTGAGACATTGAACCCAGAAGCCCATCAATATCTCATGGAGAAAGATCCTAAAACATGGTCTAGAGCTTTCTTTCAAACTGGAAGGTGTTGTGATGTAGTTGAAAATGGGTTCTCAGAAAGTTTTAATGCTGTAATAGTAGATGCTAGGAAGAAGCCCATAATAACCATGTTAGAGGAGATAAGATTATACATGATGGACAGAATCTACAACATGAAATTAAAGGGACAACAATGTGGAAATCATATTTGTCCAGAGATAAGGGATAAGGTGAATTTGCTTAAAAAAGCTCAAAGGCATTATCAGGTACTACCAAGTGGATTAAACCAGTTTGAGGTAAGGGGAGCAATAGATGCATATGAGGTGGACTTAGAAAGAAAAACATGCTCATGTAGGTTGTGGCAATTGAATGGATATGGATGTGCTCATTCTGTAGCTAGCATATCCTTTCTTAATAGGGATGTAGAAGCCTATGTAGACAACATGTTTAGCACAACCACATTTAGAAAGGCATACAATTACAGAATTGCTCCCACGAATAACAGTGACATGTGGCCAGAGACAAACTATACTCCACCATTGCCTCCTATTAATAGAAGGATGCCTGGTAGGCCAACTACTAAGAGGAAGAAATCCACTACAGAGAATACAGGAACACACAGGGTTTCTAAGGCTGGAAAGAAAATCAGATGTAGTATTTGCAAGGAGATAGGTCACAACAAGGCCACTTGTCCACAAAGAAGGCCCAAAAAGTTAAATGTGAAGAAACAGAAGAAACAAAAAGTATGTGTGAACCAAAATGCAGGACAGGTAAAACAATTTAAAATATAAGATTAGTTACATATAATTTGTTACTAATATAATTATATCATGCCATGTAGGGTAGTACAAGTGAACCACAACAACATGAAGAGGTTGAAATGACTCCAATTGAGATGGATACTACTCAAAATGATATGCAAGTTGCTCCTACTGATGTTGAATCTAGTAGTGCAGGGGATTTTATTCAATATGTGCAATTCACTCCACCTAGAAGTTATGAAGGTGATGAGGGTGTTATGGGTGAGGAAGCTGATGTGGTTGAGGAAGCTGTTGTGGTTGAGCAAGTTGTTCAAGATGAGGAGGCTGAGGAGGTTGATCCTGTTATCAAGTTGATAATGTAAATGTTCAGGAGGTTGATGAGGTTAATCCTAATGCCCAAGTGGATAATGGTAATGTTCAGGAGGTTGCTCCTGTTAACCAAGTTCAGCAGGTTTGTGTTAGGCCAATTTCAGATATTTTGAAGAGGATAAGGAGAAGAAAGTCAGAGAGAATACTGAAGCTGAAATTAGGCAAAACAATTGGTGGTGTTGATGATCCAGGAAATTCGAAGGGAAAAGCTCTTGTAATTGATTAGTGTTTATTGTAATTTGTGTTTAAAGTTTATGTAATGGGATGATGATAAATTGGATTTTAAGTTTATGTAATAGGATGATGGTAATTTATATTTAAAGTTTATGTAATAGGATGTTGGTAATTTATATTTAAGTATGTGTGACATTAAAGGGTATTTTGGTCATTTAAGTATGTATGAAAGAAAAAGGGTAATCTGGTCATTTAAGTATTTATGACAGAAAAGGGTAATTTGGTCATTTATTTATTGATGACAAATAAGGGTATGTAGGTAATTCATTTATGTATGCAAGAAAAGGGTAATTTGGTCATTCCGTATTTATGACAGAAAAGGGTAATTTGGTCATTTATTTATTGATGACAGATAAGGGTATGTAGGTAATTCATTTATGTATGCAAGAAAAAGGGTAATTTGGTCATTTAAGTATGTATGACAGAAAAGGGTAATTTGGTCATTCATTTATGTATGTAAGAAAAGGGTAATTTGGTCATTTAATTATGTATGATAGAAAAGGGTATGTTGGTCATTTATTTATGTATGCAAGAAAAGGGTATGTTGGTCATTTATTTATGTATGACATGAAGTATGAAAGTATGTTACCATTTTAAGTAAAATCATACATTTGGCTTTGAATATTTATGCATGGAAAAAATTGGAATAATGTGCATGCATGGGGATGTTTTATATGGCCCCGGATTTGGTTTTTTAATGGCTTCACGGGTCCCATTTTTTCATTATTAAAATGGTCCCCATTCACATAGTGTACTTCCACATGGACCACTTCCTAATTAAATATATTTGTTGGGAATATAGACCATGCATATGTTTGATAAACATCATCTGATTATACAAAATGCCCTACAATTGGGACTTTGAATATTTTTTTACATTACTTATCATATGCCCTTTCATTAGGGACTTACCACCTTACAACATCAACACATTAAGGTTGATAACCCCAACTTATAACTAAAACCAGCTTCAATACATACAAAATGCCCTTATGGAACTGACTTTCTAGTCCGCCTTTACAAAAAATACAAGGGATCCCAAAAAAACAAAAGCTTACCCTAACCAACCAAACTAACTACATTGACCCCCCTAACTTCAAAACACATAGGTCCAAGCAACCAACCAACAGGGCAACTATCATCCTGTACCTGCCTATTGCCTTCATTGCATCATGAACTTCTTTCTCACTCTTTGCCACCTTATACTGCTCCTGTGACAGCAGAAACTCCACTTCAGCAATCCTTCTCCTCAATTTGTTCATCTAGACATTTCATCTTTGGCATCCAGTTTTCTGCTTCAGAGAATATAGTAGGTTTTTGTAGTACCCGTCTGCCTGTTCTTCATCTTTCCATTCAAAGAAGCTACATTTCCTCAACCTAGTCTATAAAAAGACAATAAAATTAGGGTTTGACTGACAATCACAAATCAACTACCTTTAATGTACCAGCGAAATGGGTTTTATTCACAGTGATCGTCAAGAAGGAAATAAAATTAGGGTTTTTAACAGATGAAACAAAATACAAATACACCATTGTCGTTTTTACAGAAGAAACAACACATCAAACCATAAAATACTAACTTATCAAAATCAAGAGAATCGGGACCTACCATACTGTTTTGACAATTCCAGAATCGCCTCCCAGTTTGTTATCTTCCAACACAGCGACTGGAACATGAGTGACTTGTAGCTGATTCCTTGACGTCGATGAGCTCGAAGACATTCTTCTTCAGGATGGAAATAGTCGGGGAGGGAGAAGTCTTTGACTTTTCAGAGAAGGGTAAGTAAAGATTGAAAGGAGGTCCGAATGAGGGTTTCAATTAATAAGCCTGTATCGACAACTGGACCACGTAAGCTTATTGGACACATCAGCGTGCCACATAAGCATTGTAACCGGGAAACCTTCTAAAATGGTGTAATTAAAAGGTCAGTTACGAGTTTAATGGTCTAATGTACCAAAAAAAAAACTTTAAGGACCAAATTAGCCAAATGTTAAAAGTTCCATGTGCTACAG